GAGCGATTGATAAACGAAATACGGGAACCTAGTTTTAGAGCTAACCTAGGAAATGAGTAAGAAATGAGCAAGTGAAAGACGAAGAATACTAAGTCGATGGAGGTTTGGAAGTTAGGTCAAGCGTAAGATTGCAGCTACAGATAGACGAAGTATAAATATAGGGTTTTTTAAGTTGGGTATAGTAGACGTTAAATAAGAAACCTGGGATCAGTTTGGTTTGGTTTTGTTTAACGGCATATCTTAATGGGTTATTTTAGGATAGGTTCATATGAATAGAATGTGTATTCTTTGTAAGAAATCAGTTTGTAGATTAAGTTTTATTGACGTATTTTTTAAAAGAGCGTTTTTTGTCGAGTCAAATGTATATTTTTTCAGCTTTGTATTTTTATTATAAAAAACTATTTTTATACTTCCATAGTGTTTTGACCCCATTTTAGTGGGTAACTATTTGCCCACAGCTGGGACCCTGACAGGTGCTACCACCCAGGGTCCGGGTTGACCTGGGAACAATAGCAATTAAGAAGTTGTCCCTCAAAAGCTCTCGATTAGAGACCTTGTAGTATATCGTCATAGCCAAGACCCACCTGGGATCGACGACGTATATTAAACCTAAGGTTAGACATAGGTTTGCAAGTTAAGAGTAACACGTGTCCAAATTAGAGATAGACGAAACCTACAACTCCTACGGTGGAGTAAGGGATAGCGGCTCGGATTGAGGAATTGGAGAGCTGAGAATTCCAGTCGAATCCATTACATTCACTTCCGTTCCTCTTCCTCTCCACATTCCCTAGCTATACGTAAATAGCAGGACAGACCGGGTTCTATAGCCTTGGATGGCAACTGGTCTACTGCAGAAAGAAATGGCAACCTACTGCGGGAAAAAAACGTAATAGATACATGATCACGCATGGAACATAACTGACTGACTGAACCCTAATGGAGTAAAGTGTTAAAGCTAATGTGTTGACCTTGCATTAGAGCTAGAAACAGGCGAAATTTAAGGAATCTAAGAGAGTTGAGAGTTAGGTATTGTTTATCCTTGGGCTTAGTTCTAGGGTTAGGGGAATTGTAACTTAGGTAATGATTAAATCCAGAGTTTATGCTAGAGATAAAGCTAGTATTGTGATTTAGGTACAGAATAACATTAGGGATGGAACAAACTTATTAGACCTGTTAGACCTAAGTTTGGAAGAGAGGGATAGACGAAATAGGATCTATGGTCGTAAAAATTAGTGGTTAGCACTGGGAGAGAAAAATTATAAGAAACTGTGGGTTAGAGCTACTGCTGGAATTTCGGTAAAGGGTTAGCGCTAAAAGTAGTCAAAGTATAAGAGATCTAGGTTTAGATTTCGAGGTTAGACAAAGAGTCACCATATGCTTAGTGCTAAGGACAATCAGTTTTGTTTTTCGTTTTTTGTTTTGTTTTTTGTTTTTTTTTTGGTTTGTTTTCTAATCTGAACACTTCTGTGGAAAACATGAATAAAAGATTGAAATATTAACAACATATTAGATTTGATTATTGTGGTAATAGAATAAGCACATCCCATCTCCCCTCTCGCCTGTAACCATCCATCGCAATAAAATAAACGTTTAGATCTAAAGCAGAATGAGTCAGATAAGACTTCATAAGATTCTATTTAGAGTTGTTCCTATATTACAGTTATTATTAGATGAAAAAATATCAATTATTATTTTTAATAATAGTATTTCTTTCATCTTAGTTTAAGTAACGTTGATGGAAACTATTCTGATCGTCATTTAAAATAACTGTCTATAAAGTAACGTGATCTTCTGCAACCACTGGCTTTCGTAACTAAAGCGGTAGAGCAGCTATTACGTAAGATGGGCTTCTTTAGGGGAAAGTGTTGCTAGTCAGCGTCTCGCCGAAAACTTATTCTTTATTTTTCTCCTCGCACTGTTTACGAATGGCCATAGAATAACGATGGGAATAGTTTTAATAAAAAGGAACGGATATTAAGATGAAAGAAATAATCAAGTCTCTATTATTAATACGTAACAATAACAAATTAGATTTTAAAGTTTATTGTAAACCCACCATCAAAACAATCTAATTAATTTCTATTCCAACTACAACCAAAAAATAAAATCAGGATTAGTCATAGGATTCTACCTCATAGCACTTAGGATATGTAGATCAGAATACCTAGTTGAAGAAGAGAAATACATTGAGAAAACATTTAGACTTCTTCACTGCCTTCGTTATTTCATCCTCAACGTTAAAAAACACTTACAAAATCCACCCCCCCACAAAAAAAAACACCTATATCACTTCTAACAGCAAAAATGCAAAACTCATAATCCCACCCTCTAACACTGTTTCTAAAAAAACTTGTAAATAAATTAGTTATCCTTAATACTAAGAACTTTACTATCACATCCAAAAAAAATCAGAGATCTAATTAGGAAGAAAAATAAACCCAACACTAATTTAGATGCCGGTACTTGTCAAATAAATTGCTTACAATATAAAAAAACATCATTATCGAAAAAAACATCACGAAAATTTAAAAAGTCCGTATAAAACATAAAAGAGATCTAAGCATAAAGGAGGTTTTCTGCTTTGACAAACATTCAAACTTGCTCGTAATACACAGGAACAAAACTGGCCATAACTTTGATTTTACAAATGCCACTCAAATTAAAAAGAACAATTCTTTACGTCGAAATTACTCCGAGAGACTACTAATAACAACGTTGCCAACTATAAAAACACATCAAAAACATTATATTACATCACCAACATTTACTGAATCCATTCATAAAAATCTAACGTATGTTTATTTCAAATAAATGGTATATACGTAAAAATGTTCCCAAATCAACATGCGAAAAACTATCAAACATGTCTACTACACACGCGCACACAAACACATACTTACGAATATACATCATCATCTGAATCCCATATAGACAAATTAAAATTATTATACACAAAGCAATATTTACAATTTTTCAGTTAGACTTGGATTCTGTTAATTTCTTGGAACGTCAAATGGACGCGTCCTCTGTCCTTGAATTCGGAACGCCATAAATTATACTAACGTTTGTTTAACAAGTCGAATGCATATGAAACATGATTAACCAATGAAAATCAAAACAACACAAAAGTAAAAATACCAGAATTTCTTTCTTTTTTCTCCATATATTCTCTGGTGGTTTTAATAAAATTAAAATATGTTAGATTGATTAATGTTTTTTTTTGTTTTATCTTATCATGAAAGAAATTTATCAATAATCATTGACATAAAATAAGCAATCGTTTTTATTAATGAAATATTGATTATTTATTGGCTTTTTTAGAGATTTCTTCCGTTCTTGACATTTTAAAATTGTTTTTATTTGGGGGAAACTTTTTGTGTTTATCAGTGACCAAGAATATTTGTACGTTTGCACTTATATTTAGTCAGAATAGTAAATCTCACTGAATTATCGTGATGCTTTTACCTTTGATGTTTTCACTTGGTCGCTCGGTTTTCGTCAACAAAATTACATTGTATCAAGAATTTATTCCTGCAGCCATTATCCCTTAAATTCATACGAAACATATGTTGCTTTGATCTATATGTTGAAAATATTCGCCTTGACAATCACGGACATTTACTTAAAGAAGCGAAAACAATCACTGACAATTCATTCGGAAGACATGGAACAGGAACAAGATTTGATCTCGCCAAACTAAACAAATTATTAAGAGACAAGAAATGTTTCCTGATCAAGAAATCAACCTGAATTGTTTAGTTAACTTTATCATCCCATATGGTAGTCCGTACTGAGAATTACACCTTAATCAGAAGAATAAGAAAGCTAGGTCAGTGCATACTGGAGAATATACTGTAAAAAATACCATTATCAATTAGGAAGTTTTAAGGAAAAAATGAACAAAAGGAAATCATCAGAAAGTCAGTTGGAATTTATAAGACAAAATGAAGAAAAAAAATGGAGTATTTGTTACCACAGGAAATCAACTATTTCGTTTTATTTGTTTTTGTTTTTTGCTTTCAAATGGCAAAAATTTACTAAAGAAATTTAGAAACAAAGATTTCTTCAGTATTTTAGCTTTTTTTCTTTGCCATAATCGCCCAACTTTGGAAATAATCATGAAAGAAAAAAAAAAGAAGCATGTTCTGCTATCTGATGAATGTCGGAAAATACGAGTCGAAACACCATTAACGTTAACACCCCCCTCCCCACTTAAAAAGAATGCATTATTCAAACATTGTTCATGCGAAAAAGATTCCATTGAAATATTTTTTTTCTCTACACCTACAAATAACGCTTTCTTTTGCAATGTAGTCGGATTGTTTTACTCTAAGTTGATACATTGTTGATTTTCATCTTGAAAAGTGCAACTTGAACGAAAAGAAAAAAGATAGCAAGGAATGGTGAGAGATCTGTTAGTGATGTTGATAGCAACGAAATGATTTCAGTCTGATAAAGAAAAAATGATAAGGAATTAGTATCAGAAAAGTGATTGGTAGTGGTGAATATCTGAAAAGATTAAGAGAACATGCGTTGTACATTGTCGAAACATGTCGCTTGTTGGCAAGAAGCGTAAACTGTTGAATTACTGATAAAGACCATCGGTTCGGGTTACCTACTTTCCAGATTCTGCCAGTAATCCTGACCGCAAACCCCTTTTGATCGTCTTCTTCTTCCTTTTCCTTGTTCTTTTTATCTTTTGTTTATACTATTCCCAGTCTCTCCTCTCTCTCTTTCCCATTCTCTCCTCTTTCTAACTCTCTCTTTCTCTCTCCCTCTCTGCACTCTTTCTCTTTCGACAGTTGATATATCTCTTTCTCTCTCTCCCTATTTTCTCTCTCCCTCTTTTTTCACTTTCTCTCTCTCTCTCTTTCTCGGCATTTAGAATAGAAGTGATATTCCTTATATTCGTGAACATTTTCGGCTTAATATCTAAATCAATTTTTTTTCTTTTTTATTTTCTAATTTTTATCAATTATATTTTCTCCTTCTCAGTAATAATGTTTCTTATTCTTTCATTTCCTTTTAACTCTTTTTTTCACTTTCATTTCCTTCTACTTTTTTATTATTTCTTACACTCAAATTTCCTTGATATGTTTCTTACTCTTCCATTTCGTTCTGATTTTCGTATTTTGCAAATAATTCTTTTTTTCCTCTCTTCCCGTATTCTTATTCTTTCATTTCCTTCTAGACCGTTTCTTGATACATTTCCTTCTACTTTTCCCATTATTTCTTATTTGCTTTTCATTTCCTTCTACTCTTATTATTTCTTGTTCTTTCATTCCTTCTACTCTTCCCCATTCTCCCTTCTTTCTTTCTTCTTTTCCCTATTTCTTATTCTTTCATTTCCTTCTCTTCCCCTTATTTCTTATTCTTTCCCTTCTACTTCCCCCTTTCATTTTCTATCCTTGTCTTTCATTTCCTACTACCTATTCTTTCATTCTGCAGATTCCCCGTATTTTCTTATTTTCTTTTTAATTTTATTATTTCTTATTCTTTACTTTTTCCATTTGTTATTCTTTCAATCGATCTTCCCATTTTTCTTAACTTTCCACTCTTCCATTTTTCTTATTCTTTCATTTCCTTCTTTTCCCAATCGCTCTTATTCTTTCATTTCCTTCTACTCTTTCCGTATTCTTTCATTTAATTATTATTTTCTTATTCTTTCATTTCGATTCTACTTTTCCCATTATTTCTTAATCTTTCATTTTCCTTCTATACTCCATTATTTCTTTCTTTCATTTCCCTTCTCTCTTCTTGTTTTCTTAGTCTTTTTATTTCCTTCTAATTTTCATCATCATTTCATCTTTTTCCCATTTTTCATTTTCTTTCATTTAAAGATCCTTCGTTCAAATCATTAAGAGAGAGAAAAGAAATTATTCAACAAGTTGAAGGTAACATTTAACCTTTCTACAGACCAGAACGAACTTTTGAAAGCTCATTTTCACAAATTTCTTTTATTTCTTTTCATATTCTGACTTGCTTCTATACAAAGATTGTTCCATTTTTCTATTTCTTTTTTTTTCATTTTCTATTTGTACATCATTCGCCATTTTTTTCTTTTTCATTTCCGTTGTTATATATTGTCATCATCATTTCACCCAATCCACAACATTTTTTTTATTTCCTTGAATTTTTCATCATCATCATTTTATTTCTTTTTCGGTTCTTTAGTTTCATCATCGTTCACAAATCATTTTATTTCTTTTTTTATTTCATTTTCATCATCGTTCACATATCCTTTTTATTTCTTTTTATTTCCTGAAATTTGATCATCGTTCACAAATCCCTTTTATTTCTTTTTTCATTTCTTGAGAAATTTAATCATCATTTTTTTTTTTTTTCATTTTCCTTCAAAAGTTCATCATCGTTCACACATCCCTTTTTTTTTTTTCATTTCCATGAAATTTCATCATCGTTCACACATCCCTTTTATTTCTTTTTTTTTTTTTTATTTCCTTGAAATTTCATCATCGTTCACAAATCCTTTTTTTTTTCTATTTCATCATCGTTTGAAATTTCATACATTCACTTTAAATCATTTTATTTCTTTTTTTCATTTCCTTGAAATTTCATCATCGTTCACACATCCCTTTTATTTCTTTTTCATTTTTTTTTTCCTTTGAAAAATTTCATCATCGTTCACATCCTTTTTATTTCTTTTCATTTCCTTGAAATTTCATCATCGTTCACATCCTTTTATTTTCTTTTTTATTTCCTTGAAAATTTCATCATCGTTCACATCCCTTTTATTTCTTTTTCATTTCCTTGAAATTTTATCATCGTTCACATCCCTTTTATTTCTTTTTTTTTCCTTGAAATTTCATCATCGTTCCACACATCCCTTTTATTTCTTTTTCATTTTATTGAAATTTCATCATCGTTCACATTTATCCCTTTTATTTCTTTTCATTTCCTTGAAATTTCATCATCGTTCACATCCTTTTTATTTTTTTTCATTTCCTTGAAATTTCATCATCGTTCACACATCCTTTTATTTTTTTCATTTTCCTTTAAATTTCATCATCGTTCACACATCCCTTTATTTCTTTTTTTATTTCCTTGAAATTTCATCATCGTTCACATCCCTTTTTTTTCTTTTTCATTTCCTTGAAATTTCATCATCGTTCACATCATTTTTTTATTTCTTTTCATTTCCTTGAAATTTCATCATCGTTCACACATCCCTTTTATTTCTTTTTATTTCCTTGAAATTTCATCATCGTTCACACATCCCTTTTATTTCTTTTTTATTTCCTTGAAATTTCATCATCGTTCACACATCCCTTTTATTTCTTTTTTATTTTTCCTTGAAATTTCATCATCGTTCACACATCCTTTTATTTCTTTTTTATTTCCTTGAAATTTCATCATCGTTCACACATCCCTTTTTATTTCTTTTTCATTTCCTTGAAATTTCATCATCGTTCACACATCCTTTTTATTTCTTTTTCATTTCCTTGAAATTTCATCATCGTTCACACATCCCTTTTATTTCTTTTTTATTTCCTTGAAATTTCATCATCGTTCACATCATTTTATTTCTTTTTCATTTTTATTTCATCATCGTTCACACATTTTTTATTTCTTTTCATTTCCTTGAAATTTCATCATTCACATCCCTTTTATTTTTCTTTTTTCATTTCCTTCGAAATTTTTTATCATCGTTCACACATCCCTTTTATTTCTTTTTTATTTCCTTGAAATTTCATCATCGTTCACACATCCCTTTTTATTTTTTTCATTTCCTTGAAATTTCATCATCGTTCACACATCCCTTTTTTATTTCTTTTTTTTTTCCTTGAAATTTCATCATCGTTCACACATCCTTTTTATTTCTTTTTTTTTCCTTGAAATTTCATCATCGTTCACATCCCTTTTATTTCTTTTTATTTCCTTGAAATTTCATCATCGTTCACACATCCCTTTTATTTCTTTTTTTTCCTTGAAATTTCATCATCGTTCAAATCCTTTTTTTTCTTTTTTCCTTGTTTCATCATCGTTCACACATTTTTTTTTTTCTTTTTCATTTCCTTGAAATTTCATCATCGTTCACACATCCCTTTTATTTCTTTTCATTTCCTTGAAATTTCATCATCGTTCACATCCTTTTATTTCTTTTTTTTATTTCCTTTGAAATTTCATCATCGTTCACATCCCTTTTTTTTCTTTTTTTTTATTTCCTTGAAATTTCATCATCGTTCACACATCCCTTTTATTTCTTTTTTTATTTTCCTTGAAATTTCATCATCGCTCACACATCCCTTTTATTTCATTTTTATTTCCTTGAAATTTCATCATCGTTCACACATCCCTTTTATTTCTTTTTTTTATTTCCTTGAAATTTCATCATCGTTCACACATCCCTTTTTATTTCTTTTTCATTTCCTTGAAATTTCATCATCGTTCACACATCCTTTTTATTTCTTTTTCATTTCCTTTAAATTTCATCATCGTTCACACATCCCTTTTATTTCTTTTTCATTTCCTTGAAATTTCATCATCGCTCACACATCCCTTTTATTTCATTTTTATTTCCTTGAAATTTCATCATCGTTCACACATCCCTTTTATTTCTTTTTTTTATTTCCTTGAAATTTCATCATCGTTCACACATCCCTTTTATTTCTTTTTCATTTCCTTGAAATTTCATCATCGTTCACACATCCTTTTTATTTCTTTTTTTCATTTCCTTGAAATTTCATCATCGTTCACATCCCTTTTATTTCTTTTTTATTTCCTTGAAATTTCATCATCGTTCACACATCCCTTTTTATTTCTTTTTTATTTCCTTGAAATTTCATCATCGTTCACACATCCCTTTTATTTCTTTTTTATTTCCTTGAAATTTCATCATCGTTCACACATCCCTTTTTATTTCTTTTTCATTTCCTTGAAATTTCATCATCGTTCACACATCCCTTTTATTTCTTTTTTATTTCCTTGAAATTTCATTTTATTTTTTTGATCGTTCACACAATTTCTTTTTTTTTCTTCAAATTTCATCATCGTTCACACATCCTTTTATTTCTTTTTCATTTCCTTGAAATTTCATCATCGTTCACACATCCCTTTTATTTCTTTTTCATTTCCTTGAAATTTCATCCGTTCACACATCCCTTTATTTCTTTTTTTTATTTCCTTGAAATTTCATCATCGTTCACACATCCCTTTTTTTTCCTTTTTTTCTTTTCGTTTCATTTTTTTTCCTTGAAATTTCATCATCGTTCACACATCCCTTTTATTTCTTTTTCATTTCCTTGAAATTTCATCATCATTCACACATCCCTTTTATTTCTTTTTCATTTCCTTGAAATTTCATCATCGTTCACACATCCCTTTTATTTCTTTTTTATTTCCTTGAAATTTCATCATCGTTCACACATCCCTTTTATTTCTTTTTTTATTTCCTTTGAAATTTCATCATCATTCACACATCCTTTTATTTTTTTTTCATTTCCTTGAAATTTCATCATCGTTCACACATCCCTTTTATTTCTTTTTTTTTTCCTTGAAATTTCATCATCGTTCACACATCCCTTTTATTTCTTTTTTATTTCCTTTTTCATCATCGTTCACACATCCTTTTATTTCTTTTTTCATTTTTTCATCATTTTCCTTTTATTTAAATTTCATCATCGTTCACACATCCTTTTATTTCTTTTTATTTTTTTGAAATTTCATCATCGTTCACATCCACACTTTTATTTCTTTTTATTTTCCTTGAAATTTCATCATCGTTCACACATACCTTTTATTCCTTTATATTTCCTTGAAATTTCATCATCGTTCACACATCCCTTTTTATTTCTTTTTCATTTCCTTGAAATTTCATCATCGTTCACACATCCCTTTTATTTCTTTTTTCATTTCCTTGAAATTTCATCATAATTCTCAAAACCCTTTTATTTCTTTTTTTTTCCTTGAAATTTCATCATCGTTCACATCCCTTTTTATTTCTTTTTTATTTCCTTGAAATTTCATCATCGTTCACATCCTTTTTATTTCTTTTTTCATTTCCTTGAAATTTCATCATCGTTCACACATCCCTTTTATTTTTTTTTTTTTTCCTTGAAATTTCATCATCGTTCACACATCCCTTTTTATTTCTTTTTTTCATTTCCTTGAAATTTCATCATCGTTCACACATCCTTTTTTTTCTTTTTCATTTTTGAAATTTCATCATCGTTCACACATCCCTTTATTTCTTTTTATTTCCTTGAAATTTCATCATCGTTCACATCCCTTTTTTTTCTTTTTTTTTTTCATTTCCTTGAAATTTCATCATCGTTCACACATCCTTTTATTTTTTTTATTTCCTTTGAATTTCATCATCGTTCACACATCCTTTTTTTCTTTTTCATTTTTTTTCATTTCTTTTTATTTCATTTTATTTCGTTTCACACATCCCTTTTTATTTCTTTTTTTTTCCTTTGAAATTTCATCATCGTTCACACATCCCTTTTATTTCTTTTTTATTTCTTTGAAATTTCATCATCGTTCACACATCCCTTTTTATTTCTTTTTTATTCCTTGAAATTTCATCATCGTTCACACATCCATTTTATTTCTTTTTTTTTTCCTTGAAATTTCATCATCGTTCACATCCCTTTTATTTCTTTTTTATTTCCTTGAAATTTCATCATCGTTCACACATCCCTTTTATTCCTTTTATTTTTTTATTTCCTTGAAATTTCATCATCGTTCACACATCCTTTTTATTTCTTTTTTTTTTTCCGTGAAATTTCATCATCGTTCACATCCTTTTTTCTTTTTTCATTTCCTTGAAATTTCATCATCGTTCACATCCCTTTTTTATTTTATTTCTTTTTTTTATTTCTTTTTTTCAAATTTCATCATCGTTCACATTCCATCCTTTTCTTTTTTTTCATTTCTTTTTCATTTTCCTTTTTATTTCAAATTTCATTCCTTCATTTCTTTTATCATCATTCGCAGTTTTTTTTTCTTTTTCATTTCCTTGAAATTTCATCATCGTTCACATCCCTTTTTCAACTTCTTTTTATTTCCTTGAAATTTCATCATCGTTCACATCCCTTTTATTTTTATCTGAACGGGTTCATTTCTTTTCCAATTTCATCATCGTTCACATTTTTTTTTCTTTTTCATTTCCTTGAAATTTCATCTCGTTCACACATCCTTTTTATTTCTTTTTGTTTCCTTGAAATTTCATCATCGTTCACATCCCTTTTTTTTTCTTTTTTCATTTCCTTGAAATTTCATCATCGTTCACACATCCCTTTTTATTTTTTTTTTATTTCCTTCCAATTTCATCATCGTTCACACATCTCTTTTATTTCTTTTTTTTTTTCTTTAAATTTCATCATCGTTCATGACATCCCTTTTATTTCTTTTTTCATTTCCGTTTTGAAATTTCATCATCGTTCACACATCCCTTTTATTTCTTTTTTTTCCTTTTTATTTCATCATCGTTCACACATCCTTTTTTTCTTTTCCTTGAAATTTCATCATCGTTCACACATCCCTTTTATTTCTTTTTTATTTCCTTGAAATTTCATCATCGTTCACACATCCTTTTATTTCTTTTTATTTCCTTGAAATTTCATCATCGTTCACATCCCTTTTTTCTTTTTTTTCCTCATTTCCTTTAAAATTTCATCATCGTTCACACATCCTTTTTATTTTTTTTTTTCCTTGAAAATTTCATCATCGTTCACACATCCCTTTTTTTTTTTTTTTCATTTCCTTGAAATTTCATCATCGTTCACACATCCCTTTTATTTCTTTTTTCATTTCCTTGAAATTTCATCATCGTTCACACATCCCTTTTTCTTTTTCTTTTCCTTTTTTTCATTTTCACACATCCCTTTTTATTTTTTTTTTTTTTTCTTGAAATTTCATCATCGTTCACACATCCTTTTTTATTTTTTTTATTTCCTTGAAATTTCATCATCGTTCACACATCCCTTTTATTTCTTTTTTTTCCTTGAAATTTCATCATCGTTCACACATCCTTTTTTCTTTTCTTTTATTTCCTTGAAATTTCCATCGTTCACACATCCCTTTTTTTCTTTTTCATTTCCTTGAAATTTCATCATCGTTCACATCCTTTTATTTTATATTTCCCTTTTTCATTTCTTTTTTTTTTTTTTTTTCTTGAAATTTCATCATCGTTCACACATCCTTTTTATTTCTTTTTCATTTTCCTTGAAATTCATCATCGTTCACACATCCCTTTTATTTCTTTTTTTTTCCTTGAAATTTCATCATCGTTCACACATCCCTTTTATTTCTTTTTATTTCCTTGAAATTTCATCATCGTTCACATCCTTTTATTTCCATTTCCTTTTTCATCATCGTTTCTTTTCATTTTCCTTGAAATTTCATCATCGTTCACATCCCTTTTATTTCTTTTTCATTTCCTTGAAATTTCATCATCATTCACATCCCTTTTATTTCTTTTTTATTTTCCTTGAAATTTCATCATCGTTCACACATCCCTTTTATTTCTTTTTTATTTCCTTGAAATTTCATCATCGTTCACACATCCCTTTTATTTCTTTTTATTTCTTGAAATTTCATCATCGTTCACACATCCTTTTTATTTCTTTTTATTTTCCTTGAAATTTCATCATCGTTCACATCCCCCTTTTTTTTTATTTCCTTGAAATTTCATCATCGTTCACATCCCTTTATTTCTTTTTATTTTTGAAATTTCATCATCGTTCACACATCCTTTTATTTTTTTTTTTTCTTGAAATTTCATCATCGTTCACATCCTTTTTATTTCTTTTTTTTTTCCTTTTTTAAATTTCATCATCGTTCATCATCCCTTTTATCCCTTTTATTTTTTTTTATTTTCCTTGAAATTTCATCATCGTTCACACATCCTTTTATTTCTTTTTCATTTCCTTGAAATTTCATCATCGTTCACACATCCCTTTTTCATTTCTTTTTATTTCCTTTTTGAAATTTCATCATCGTTCACACATCCCTTTTATTTCTTTTTTATTTCCTTGAAATTTCATCATCGTTCACACATCCCTTTTATTTCTTTTCATTTTCTTGAAATTTCATCATCGTTCACATCCTTTTTTATTTCTTTTTTTATTTCCTTGAAATTTCATCATCGTTCACACATCCCTTTTTATTTCTTTTTTATTTCCTTGAAATTTCATCATCGTTCACACATCCCTTTTATTTTTTTTTTTATTTCCTTGAAATTTCATCATCGTTCACACATCCCTTTATTTCTTTTTTTTCTTTGAAATTTCTTTTTTTTCCTTTCCTTGAAATTTCATCATCGTTCACATCCCTTTTTTTTCTTTTTTTTTATTTCCTTTTCAAATTTCATCATCGTTCACACATCCCTTTTATTTCTTTTTTATTTCCTTGAAATTTCATCATCATTCACACACATCCTTTTATTTCTTTTTCATTTCCTTGAAATTTCATCATCATTCACACATCCCTTTTTTTTTCTTTTTTATTTCCTTGAAATTTCATCATCGTTCACACATCCCTTTTTATTTCTTTTTTTTTTCCTTTTCATCATCGTTCATCATCATCGTTTCATCATCACATCCCTTTTATTTTCTTTTTCATTTCCCTTGAAATTTCATCATCGTTCACATTTCCTTTGATTTCTTTTTTTATTTCCTTGAAATTTCATCATCGTTCACACATCCTTTTTTATTTCTTTTTCATTTCCTTGAAATTTCATCATCGTTCACATCCTTTTTTATTTTTTTCATTTCCTTGAAATTTCATCATCGTTCACATCCTTTTTATTTTTTTTTATTTCCTTGAAATTTCATCATCGTTCACACATCCCTTTTATTTCTTTTTATTTCCTTGAAATTTCATCATCGTTCACACATCCCTTTTATTTCTTTTTTATTTCCTTGAAATTTCATCATCGTTCACACATCCCTTTTTATTTCTTTTTTATTTCCTTGAAATTTCATCATCGTTCACACATCCCTTTTATTTCTTTTTATTTCCTTGAAATTTCATCATCGTTCACACATCCCTTTTATTTCTTTTTTATTTCCTTGAAATTTCATCATCGTTCACACATCCCTTTTATTTCTTTTTATTTTCCTTGAAATTTCATCATCGTTCACACATCCCTTTTATTTCTTTTTCATTTCCTTGAAATTTCATCATCGTTCACACATCCCTTTTATTTCTTTTTAAATTCCATCATCGTTCACAATCCCTTTTTATTTCTTTTTTCATCATCGTTCACATCCCTTTTTTGTTTCTTTTCATTTCCCTTTGAAATTTTCATCATCGTTCACATCCCTTTTATTTTTTTTTTTCCTTTCATCATCGTTCACACATTTTTATCTTTTTCATTTCCTTGAAATTTCATCATCGTTCACACATCCCTTTTATTTCTTTTTATTTCCTTGAAATTTCATCATCGTTCACATCCCTTTATCCTTTTTTTGATTTCTTTTTCCCTTTTTTCTTTTTTTAAAATTTCATCATCGTTCACACACATCCTTTTATTTTTTTTTATTTCCTTGAAATTTCATCATCGTTCACACATCCTTTTTTTCTTTTTTATTTCCTTGAAATTTCATCATCGTTCACACATCTTTTATTTCTTTTTTATTTCCTTTTTCATCATCGTTCACACATCCTTTTATTTCTTTTTTTATTTCCTTGAAATTTCATCATCATTCACACATCCCTTTTTATTTCTTTTTTATTTCCTTGAAATTTCATCATCGTTCACACATCATTTTATTTCTTTTTTTTATTTCCTTGAAATTTTTCATCATTTCTCCCTTTTATTTTCTTTTTTATTTTCCTTGAATTTCATCATCGTTCACACATCCCTTTTATTTCTTTTTTCATTCCTTGAAATTTCATCATCGTTCACACATCCTTTTATTTCTTTTTCATTTCTTTTCATCGTTCACACATCCCTTTTATTTCTTTTTTTCATTTTCCTTGAAATTTCATCATCGTTCACATCCTTTTATTTCTTTTTTTATTTCCTTGAAATTTCATCATCGTTCACACATCCTTTTTTTTTTTTTTTATTTTCCTTGAAATTTCATCATCGTTCACACATCCTTTTATTTCTTTTTTATTTCCTTGAAATTTCATCATCGTTCACACATCCCTTTTATTTTTTTTCATTTTCCTTGAAATTTCATCATCCCTTTTATTTCTTTTTTTATTTCCTTTTTCATCATCGTTCACACATCCTTTTATTTCTTTTCATTTCTTTTTTTTTTATTTCTTTGAAATTTCATCATCGTTCACACCCTTTTATTTCTTTTTTTTCTTTTTATTTCCTTTATTTTTTTTTCAAATTTCATCATCGTTCACATCCCTTTTATTTCTTTTTTTTCCTTGAAATTTCATCATCGTTCACACATCCCTTTTATTTCTTTTTTCATTTCCTTGAAATTTCATCATCGTTCACACATCCCTTTTTTTTCTTTTCATTTCCTTGAAATTTCATCATCGTTCACACATCCTTTTATTTCTTTTTCATTTTCCTTGAAATTTCATCATCGTTCACACATCCTTTTATTTCTTTTTATTTCCTTGAAATTTCATCATCGTTCACACATCCTTTTTATTTCTTTTTCATTTCCTTGAAATTTCATCATCGTTCACATCCTTTCATCATCATTTCCTTGAAATTTCATCCCTTTTCCCTTTTATTTTTTCCGTTTCCTTGAAATTTCATCATCGTTCACACATCCCTTTTATTTCTTTTTCATTTCCTTGAAATTTCATCATCGTTCACACATCCTTTTATTTCTTTTTTCATTTCTTGAAATTTCATCATCGTTCACATCCCTTTTTATTTCTTTTTTTCCTTGAAATTTCATCATCGTTCACACATCCATTTCTTTTTTTCATTTCCTTGAAATTTCATCATCGTTCACACATCCCTTTTATTTCTTTTTCATTTTCTCTTTTCAAATTTCATCATCGTTCACACATCCCTTTTATTTCTTTTTTTATTTCCTTGAAATTTCATCATCGTTCACATCCCTTTTATTTCTTTTTTATTTCCTTTTTCATCATCGTTCACACATCCTTTTTATTTCTTTTTTATTTCCTTGAAATCATCGTTCACACATCCTTTTTATTTCTTTTTTCATTTCCTTGAAATTTCATCATCGTTCAACATCCCTTTTTATTTCTTTTTCTTTCCTTGAAATTTCATCATCGTTCACACATCCCTTTTATTTCTTTTTTTTATTTCCTTGAAATTTCATCATCGTTCACACATCCTTTTTATTTTTTTTTCATTTCCTTGAAATTTCATCATCGTTCACACATCCCCTTTTTCTTTTTTTTTTTGATTTCCTTGAAATTTCATCATCGTTCACACATCCCTTTTATTTCTTTTTATTTTCCTTGAAATTTCATCATCGTTCACACATCCCTTTTTTTTTTTTTTCATGAAATTTCATCATCGTTCACATCCTTTTATTTCTTTTTTTATTTCCTTGAAATTTCATCATCGTTCACACATCCTTTTATTTCTTTTTCATTTCCTTGAAATTTCATCA